CTATAATGTTAGAAATAATTAAATTATATTTATAGTTCTACCAAAAAATATATTTGACACAAAAAAATATTATAAATTATAGCTAAATTAGAGTAATTGCAATCATATCTTTCACAATTAGGGTAAGAGAAAAAACGCGCGTGATTAATTTTCTCGAGACTGGTATTATAGCTCAGTTCTTCGGAAGAAATACGTCTATAAATACGGACCTAAGTGTTCTTTTCTGTTCTCGCGTGTTAGAGTTAATTTTTGCAAGTAGCAATAAGTCTTATAATTCTCCGTAAGATAAACGAATATTTTATAGATGTAATAATTTGCATACCAAGACCATAGCTAAGTTTAACAGCTGAACTCGTAAAACAACAACGCCCACGTGTAATGCAAATTCATTGAAATAATATGTATATAATAATAGAATAATAAAATAACGAATAAAATAGATAGAATTTTTTAATAGAAATGGAAATGCAATTCCAGCTGTTGTGTTTGCCGAGATTAATTAGTAATTCGATTGCGCGAACCGTGAATATTTTTATCAATATCTGTCAACGAACTACAACGGTAGTGACGCTAGTTGCATTGTGTCCCAAATAATAAATATGGAAAGAACATATTCGCCAACGCGCGTGATTAATTTTCCAGCCGGCGCAACATGGCAGCTGTGCAATTTTCGCGATACGAAGCTTGCAGCGGAACAATAAACTAGTTTACATGATTTGCGAGACGATACTGTAATAACAGTGGAAACTCGACATGGACTCGTATCTAGTAAAATGCCAACCGTTAATTAATGCTTTTGCACGCGAGGGGCAATCACAAAGACAATGGAAAGAATAGTCACCGTGTAAAAGGTCAATCGAATATACATCTGTGTCGTGATTCCAAATTATTTTTTTACATTCGTGCAAAAAGCGAATAAAAGTCTAGTAATCAGCGATCTTACATTTAACTCGACAAGATTTACTGATAAAACGTTTTAACTGGTAAAGTCGTTGAATAATCAAAAGCAATATTTTTTATGTTAACGTCTCACTGACCTGTTACGTAAATTATCAGTATAGTATGTTTAATCAAATTCAGTGATAAAATTAGGATGACAGTACGATTATAATTCTAATTTTCGTACTATAGTTTACACAATCGATAGTTTACAGATTCATAACAGGCGTCAAAATTATGCACAGAAATTGTTCATTATTCAAAATATATATATATATCAAATCTAACGTACTTGTAGGTGTAAAGATTTTTTTGTAAAACAATGTACATAGCTGATAATCTTCCGAATAAAATATATTTGAAAGATAAAAGTTATCTTTTTTTTTCTTCAAAAAGAAAGCAAAATAAAACATGTTTTATAAAGTCGACCTATTTGAACATTGGTAGTCGACCTATTTGAACATTGGTAGTCACACATTTTTCAATACAAAAAAAATAATAACAATACCTCTTTTCCTTCTCTTAGTAATCGAGTTGAGTGGACAATAGGCAATGAAGGTTGAATGAAGTACTTAACGAATTTCTTTTTCATTAATTTTGCACGTTCCACTTAGAATGGTACGTTCCATTTGAAACAGAAGCACTGTGGAGGAAAAAGCTTCACAAGGTTTAAAAGCAAAGCTTTTAGGCTTTAGAATTGCTTGTTCGAAAATCTTCTTACAAATCTTATTTTTCGTAAAATTACATAAATTTACATTTCATCATTTTTGCCATTAATTTAAAGTAGGTCTTTAATTCTACCAGAAAGTAATAAAGTTATTAAAAAATTAAATGCGATCGAAACGCTTACATTATATATTGTATCAGGACTTTTATTATTAATTCCAATTGCAATAAATTTCTCCGATTGTAATGAAAATTAAATCGAGATCGTATTACGATGATTGTTTAGAAATAATTGTTATACGAATCACTTTTCTATAGCATCTTGGACCGTGGTTACCGCGAATAAGGATTTCGAGATCAATCTGAACAATTATTCGGGAGAAAGAACACCAGACGTAGGAAATTCCCACATGACATCCGTTACATGACACAAATAACGGTTTATCTCATAATACGAAACTATGTGCGAAAACCTATAATATTTTGGAAGAAAAAGATATAGGATAAATTGTTCCTATATAAATAGAAACTATACACGGAGACAATTTTTTCTTAGAATTTACCTTGAAAATATGACAGTCGTGGACAACATTGTATTTCGAAGAATTTTAAAGTAAATCTCTCTTATTCATTAATAAAACTACAATAAAGTATGAGAAATAAGTTTGAGCAATTTTACTGAAGTGCATGGTAAAAATCTTTAAAATATTGTATTGTACCACAACTACTATATTTTCAGGGTAAATTTTAAAAGAAAATTCTCTCTGTATAAGTTTTACATAAAGGTTCCACTTTAATATTTAAAAAAATACCTGTGATTAATCGTGACCGGTTTCATTCATTGTCTTGGAATTATAAAGGAAGAAAATATATATATATATATCCGGAGCACAAGATATTTCATAACACCAACAATTATAATTTTTAGAGTGCATAAACAGCGGGTTGTATTAAGTATTTGCCATCCCCGTGTTTAAGTTACACATATCAGAAATGCGTTGAAATATCAAAATCGGGAGGATGGGAATTGCAATTCCTAAAATTATCGTAAAGATAAAAAACCCTATCAAATTACTACAAAAAATAAAAATACTTTTTATACCTTGCACATTTTCATTTTATGAATACGAGAGAATACTAAAGGATGTAAAAATTAGGAAGCAACAAAAAACGGGTATCAATTTGTCTTGTAATAATCTCGCATTGCGAGATTAAATCAAGAAGCAATTTCTCGTCATTCAACACTAACATTCAACACGAATGATTCAATTAACCTAATTAATTAATATGATTGTAGAATTAAGAGAAAATATAGTCATATATTTGGGAAAGACTATCGTTGCTCAAATAATTTCGTAAGGCAACACCGTTTTGTTTTCCAAAAATTTATGTGAAACAAAAAATCTCTTAAAAACTTTTAACAATGCATAATATTTATAAAATTGATTGCGCACATCATTTAGAAATACTTTTATTGTTTCGCGTGGCTCAATCGAAGACGAATTCGTCGCATGGCGCACGTGCAACAGTTTGCATGGAGCAAATAATGACTTCTAGATGGGCGGATCAAACGGGATAATTAAAACCAACGTTGTAAGATTACGTACGCTTATTCTGCTTCGCATTTGGACACTTGCCATCGACCGTCTGCAAACGGCACTTTGCAACTTGTCGCGAAATAGAAACGCCCGCGGGCAAATTGAATGAATCCTGTCGTGGCGCGCACGTGATATATTTGTACATATAATCTCTGATATCTCTGCGTCATTTAATTAATTTTAACTCAATTCATTCCCGAGGGCGGATGCGTCTTAAAATTCCATCCCGCAACTGTGCTTCGAACAGCAAGAATTAGAAGAGAATTCGTGTATTTATAATAAAAAAGTCTTACATTCGTTGGAAGTCCATGAACTTCTGGTAGATTCAATTAGAAAGGTATAAATGAGACACTTATAATTAAAAAATTTTGTTACATTCATTGAAATTTTGATAAATTCAACCACAAAGGTACAAAATCAGATACTTATGTTAAAAAGTCTTGTTGCATTTAATAGAATCCTGGCATTTGTACTTTTCTGGTAGATACAACCAGAAAAATAAATAAAATTCTAGTGAAGATAACCAGAAATTCAATTACGATAACCAGAATTCTGATTCATACGATCAGAATTGGTTTTGATTGTATTTCTTGTTATAGTACAACCAGAACATTTTTCTACGTAACAACGCAGTACATCCTATCTCGAAGTCAGAATAGTTGCACAGTCACGGTTACGTGTAAAATATTCTCCTCTTTTCTCAGTTTTCCACAGCAAAAGAGCGAACGTTCACTCGGCGGCGAAATATTTCAGACGAGAGTAACGAGAGAAATTGATGATCGCAAGTAGTAGAGACAGACGCTCACGATAGCAGTAGATGACGACGCGACGGGTCAGACATCGCGGTACCACGCGCGATGGAGCGATACTTCGCTAGTTTAGATAGCTCGCCTCGCGGTTTCGCGTGACGATAAACGGATAAATGCTCACGGGAAGAGTTTAATTGCAGGCATATACATGGTTAAGAATACTCGTTTGCTTCGAGGAATTTCTACATTTCCGCGCTTAGTTCGCCTTTATCCGCGAACCGCAGCGGGACCGTCGCGAGCTAAAAGCCGAAAGATAAAAACTTCCCACCGCAGAAAGTTCCCTTGGATCGATGAGGAAATTTTCCCCAGGGCAATTTTGATTAAAAAGAATTAGTCCGTAACCACCGAGCCACGCGGCGAGAGCG